CCAGGTCACCTCTGACACCTACAGCAACGGTCGGTGGGTAAGTCAGACACAACCGTTAGTTGGCATGGCCCGGGAGCAAGCCCACTGAAATCACGTGTGTCAGGAATGGGGGGAGACATCCCCGCCTCTTCAGCAGCCAGGCGAAGAAGTACTGGCGAGGAGAGTGGCTCGGTAGGCCGGTCTAGAGACAGGTCTGTCTCCTGACCCACACGCAGCCGAGGGGGCTAGTGTAGTGACGCGGCCGGACCCTAATTGATGATGATGAGGCTGATCGCACTTGGCAGCCTCGTCGTCATCAGGCTATTGCTTCCGCATCATCAGGAGAAAGGAGGGTGCCAGCTTGCCAGCGAGCAAAACAGTCGGGGGGTTTGCCCAGGAGGCAGCAGGGTCGCAGCACAGTGTCAGTGGAGCCAAACGGCCACGGAGTAGAGCACCAGCTCACTGCAGCCTACCACCACGGCCCAGTAGTGGTGCCGGTGTGCACGGAGGAAGTAGCAGTCAGCCATGTGAGGAGTATGTAGCGGGGGCAAAGTTTCCTACTCGGCGGTGTGGGCAATTTTTCGTCACGCCGCCCGACCCGGAAGTAAACGTAGCCGTATGTCGACTATGTGGCCAGAAAGTCAAGCGTGGCCAGGGGGCCAATTGTTGGGACTACACAGCGTTGCGTCAGCATATGCAGCGTCGCCATTCGGTGGCCTGGGAAAACCGTGATAAAGATACGGCGGTTCTGCCTGCCCCAGCCCCCGCTCCATCACCCCACTTCTCTCCGTTACTTGCTCCATCACCCCGACGTCAATCGCCCTCTATTAGCCAGTCAAGGCTCCAACACCTCTGCTGAGGGGAGTTGTCGCTCGTTGGCATCTTCCGCTCGTTCAGATGCTCCTTCTCCTGCTACTCCTTCATCACGGATTTCCGTCCGTCAGCAGTCTTTTCTTGGAATCCGTTTCCAAGAGACAACAGTTTGCGGAGCACGCACCCGACGGTTGCAGAAGCTGAACGTCCTCCTGTCCAAGTTGCTGGTGCTGCAGTCCCTCTCCCTTTCCAAGTGGTGGGACACAGCACCTTTCCGAGAAAGATGGCTTGTGCCGAGCCGCGGTGGAGAGTGCCAAGCCGGCATTTCTTCGCCAAAAAAGGGCAGTGCCAGCCCTGCATTCACATGTAGAAGAGATGGTGGGCCAGTCTTTGAGCATGTCGGTCTCTGCCAAAGTGCACGGCAGCGCAAACGTGTTGTGGAGCTGTAACTACGTTCAGGGACAGTACATGTCATTTACGGCCCACTGGGTGAACGTGGTGCCGGCACAGCTGCACCATGCAACTTGGACAGGTTCACGCCGCTTTTGCCTCCACGTTTGCACGTCCTTGGTCCGCAGCAAAGATGTCCGCCTCTACCACCTCTTCCTTCCGCCGTGTCCTCAGCCGCCACGGCCCCACCGTGCCAAGTCCCATTACCCAACCGGCATATCACATGTGCAGGGCGCAACGGAGTCACGCTGTGCTGCACCTGGTATGCCTTGGCGAACGTAGTCACACAGGGTGAGGAACTTCTGAGTGTAATGAACAGAGAAATCGACAGATGGCTGTCTCCGCGCAAACTGAAAATCGGAACCATGTTGGGACCGACAACGGAAAAGAACATGGTGTCTGCTCTGCGTCAAGGAAGGTTTGTGCCATGCGCCATGCATGGTTTCACGTGTTCAATACTGGTTGTCAAGCGGTTCCTAAAATCCACCATCCCACTGCAAGACATCCTTAAAATGTCACGTAAACTTTGCATGCATTTCAGCCATTTCCTACACCGCAAAGCACACCCTCCTTGAGCTGCAGCGGCAGAACGGAATTCCACCAGCATCGGCCTGATCTGCGACGTAATGCAAACAAGGTGGAATTCAACAACCCTACATATGTTAGACCGCCTTTTTCGAACGAACAGCGAAAGGCCATCATCAACTATTTCCTGATGTTACAAGCGGATAAAGGTTACTCCCTGTGTAACTTAGAATGTCAGCCATTGGCAGCTCATGCGTGACACCTGCCTCTTGCTCACAGGCCCTTTGAGGAGGCCACGCTATTTCGTGAGTCGGCAGGACTATGGGCATGAACGACGTCATTCCTCTGTTGCACACGGGAAGGTCCTGGAACAAATGCTGTTAACAATAGCTGGTCAGGGTGCGGTAGACGTGGCGCACAGATCTCAACGCCAAATGACCCCCTGTGGGGGCAGGACAGGAAGAAGAGGAGGAGGTAGAGGAGGACATTGGGTGCTCAGGAATTATTGAGTGAAATGGTGGTTTTTCCACTCAGCGGACAGGACGTGGAGGAGCAGGAGCATCTGGTAGAGGAGGAGGAGGAGACCGAGTAGGACCCAGACGCACCGTGGCAGTATGCTGTGGAGATGGAGGCAGGGAGTCCCTCGCATTCCTTGGCACAAATGGCCCATAGCATGCTCGGTTGCTTGCGTAGCGACAGCCGAAATAATAACCATCAGGACAGAGGATGACTTTTATGGCTGTCACGCTTGTTGGACCCTCGCTACACCGTTCAAAAATGGTGGCCTTTTTCACACCTGCTGAGAGGGAGGCCAAAATAAAGTACTATAAAAACCACCTATGTAGTCATGCAGTATATAGCCCTATAACGGCCACTTTCTGGCATCCAGTTGCTGTAGCCCCCCATCACCACACTGTGCCACGGGCCCCTGTACCGCCTTCTCATACTGCTGCCAGATCCATCCTCTGCCATGTGCGTCTTGTCGTGCTGCTCACGCTGCTGGGTTCCAGTTTTTTTAAACCTAGGCCTGTGTATGGGCTTCCGAATAACTGCTGCCTCCACGCCACCCTGCGCCATGTGCCTCTGTCGTCTGCTCACGCTGCTGACGGCTTTCCACTTTTTAACCTACCTAGGCCTGTTGTATGGCTTCCGAATACTGCTGCCTCCACCGCCACCCTGGGCGCCATGTGCCTCTGTCGTCTGCTCACGCTGCTGACGGCTTTCCGCTTTTTAAACTAGTCCTGTGTATGTCTTCCGAATACTGCTGCCTCCCCAACCGCCATTCTAACCCTAGCAGCCAATGTGCGCACTTTTCAGGTCTCTCTTACACTGTTGGTGGGTTTCCATTTTGAGTGATAGGGTGCTGATATCGGCCTTCCATTGCTGCATGAGCCATTTAAGTCCACCGGCCACCACTGCGCCATGTGTCTCTGTCCGACCTTGCTTCACGCTGCTGACAGGGCTTCCTCCGCTTTTTAACCTAGGCCTGTGTGATGGCTTCCAATATACTGCTGCCACTTGATCCACCCGCCTCCCTGCGCCATGTGCCTCTCGTTCCTGTATGTTACATTAAGCGGATAAAGGTGTACATCCTGTGTAAACTTAGGATGTCAGCCATTGGCAGCTCATGCGTGGACACCTGCCATCTTGATACAGGCACTTTTGAGGAGGCCACGCTATTCGTGAGTCGGCAGGGACTAATGGCTCAGCATGAACGACGCGTCATTCCTCTGTTGGCACGTCCCTGGAACAAATAGCTGTTAACAATTAGCTGGTCAGGGCTGCGGTAGACTGTAGGCGCACCAGATCTCAACGCCACCAATGACCCATGATGGTGGCAGGCGACAGGAAGAAGTGTGAGGAGGTAGAGGAGCGACATTGGTGCTCAATGGATAATTAATGAACGTGAAATGGGTGGTTTTTTTCCACTCAGGCGGACAGGAGTGGAGGAGCAGGAAGCATCTGGTAGAGGAGGAGGAGGAGAACAGAGGACTCCTATGACGCACCGTGGCTAGTATTGCTGCTGGCAGAATGGACCCACCCTCCGGCAGGGAGTTCCCTCGCATTCCTTGGCACAAAATGTGCCCATAGCGCATGCTCGGATTGCTTGCGTAGCGACCAGCCGAATAATAACCATCTAGACAGAGGGAATGACGTTTTGGCTGTCCAACCTTGTTGGACCCCTCGCTACCGTTGCAAAAATGGTGGCACTGTTTTCACACCTGCTGAGAGGCGAGGCCAAAATAAAGTACTATAAAAACCACCTATGTAGTTCATGCAGTATATAGCCCTATCGGCCACTTTCCTGGCATCCAGTTGCTGTAGCCCCCATCACCACACTGTGCCACGCGGCCCCTGTACCAGCCTTCTCATACTGCTGCGGGCCAGATCATACCTCTGCCATGTGAGGTCTTTGGTCGTCTTGCTCACGCTGCTGGGTTCCAGTTTTAAACCTAGGCCTGTGTATGGGCGTTCCGAATACTTGCTGCTCTCCACCGCCATCCCTGCGCCCATGGTGCCTCAGTGTCGTCTGCTCCACGCTGCTGACGGCTCCACTTTTTAACGCTAGGCCTGTGTATGGCTTCCGAATACTGCTGCCTTCCACCGCCACCGAATGCTGGCGCCATGTGCCTCTGTCGTCTGCTCACTGAAGCTGCTGACGGCTTCCGCTTTTTTAAACTAGTCCTGTGTATGTCTTCCGAATACTGCTGCCTTCCACCGCCACCCTTCTGCGCCATTTGCCACTTTCAGGTCTCCTTACACTGTTGGTGGGTTCCATTTTGTGATAGGTGATGCGTGTATGGCCTTCCTTGCTGCTGCCTCACACCGCCACCACTTGCGCCATGTGTCCTTCTGTCGACTGCTCACGCTCATAGCTGCTGACGGCTTCCGCGCTTTTTAACCTAGGCCTGTGTATGGCGTTCCAAATACTGCTGCCTCCACCCCACCCTCTGCGCCATGTGCCTTGTCGTCTGCCTTCCACGCTGCTGACGGCTTTTCCGCTTTTTAAACTGAGTCCTGTGTATGGCTTCCGAATACTGCTGCCTCCACCAGCCACCCTGCGCCATGTGCCTCTGTAGTCTGCTCACGCTGCTGGACTCGGCTTCCGCTTTTTAAACTATGTCCTGTGTATGTCTTTCCGAATACTGCTGCCTTCCACCGCCACGCTCCTGAGCTGCGGCCATGTGCCACTTTCAGGTCTCCTTACACTGTTGTGGGTTCCATTTTTGGTGATAGGGTGCTGTATGGCCTTCCATTGCTGCTGCCTCCACCGCCACCCTGCGCCATGTGTCTCTGTCGTCTGCTCACGATTGCTGACGGCTTCCGTTTTTAACCCGAGGCCTGGTTTTTGGCTTCCGAATATACTGCTGCATCCACCGCCACCCTGTGCCATGTGTCTCTGTCGTCTGCTCACGCTGCTGACGGCTTCCGCTTTTTTCTAACCTACATTAGCCTGTGTATGGCTTCCGAATACTGCTGCCTCCACCGCCACCCTGCGCCATGTGCCTCTGTCCGTCTGCTCACGCTGCTGACAACGGCTTCCGCTTTTTAAAAGACTAGTCCTGTGTATGTCTTTCCGAATACTGCTGCCTTCCGTCACCGCCACCCCTGCGCCATGTGCCACTTTCAGTCTCCTTACACTGTTGGTGGTGGGTTCCATTTTTGATAAGGGTGCTGTATGCCCTTCCATTGCTGCTTGCCTCCATCCAGCTACCCTGCCCATGTGCCTCTGTCGTCTGCTCACGCTGGTGACGGCTTCCGCTTTTTAACCGAGGCCTTGTGTTTGGCTTCCGAATACTGCTCTGCATCCCACCGCCAACCCTGCGCCATGTGCACTCTGTCGTCTGCTCACGCTGCTGGACGGCTTCCGCTTTTTAACCGAGGCCTGTTTTTTGGCTTCCGAATACTGCTGCATCCACCGCCACCCTGGCGCCATGTGTCCTCCTGTCGTCTGCTCACTGCGCTGCTGGACGGCTTCCGTCTTTTTAAACTAGTCCTGTGTATGTCTTCCGAATACTGCTGCGTCTGCCACCGCCACCCTGTCGCCATGTGCCACTTTCAGTCTCCTTACACTGTTGAGGTTCCATTTTGTGATAGGTGCTGTATGGCCTTCCATTGAATGCTGCCTCCACCGCCACCACTGCGCCATGTGTCTCTGTCGTCTGCTCACGCTGCTGACGGCTTTCCGCTTTTTAACCTAGGCCTGTGTATGGCTTCCGAATACTGCTGCCTCCACTGCCACCCTGCGCCATGTGTCTCTGTCGTCTGCTCACCCGCTGCTGACGGCTTCGCTTTTAAACTAGTCCCTGTGTATGTCTTCTGAATACTGCTGCCTCCAACCGCCACCCCTGCGCCATGTGCCTCTGTCGTCTGCTCACGCTGCTGAAGGCTTCCCGCTTTTTTAAAACTAGTCCTGTGTATGTCTTCCGAATACTGCTTGCTCTGCCGAATCCACCGCCACCCTGCGCCATGTTGTTGCCACTTTCAGGTCTCCTTACACTGTTGGTGGGTTCCATTTTGTGATAGGGTGCTGTATGGCCTTCCATTGCTGCTTTGCCTCCACCGCCACCCTGCGCCATGTGTCTCTGTCGTCTGCTGCTCACGCTGCTGACGGCTTCCGCTTTTTTAACCTAGGCCTGTGTATGGCTTCAGAATACTGCTGCCTCACCGCCACCCTGCTCCATGTGTCCACTTTCAGGTCTCCTTACACTGTTGGTGAGGTTCCATTTTGTCCATAGGGGTGCTGTATGGCCTCCATTGCTGCTGCCTCCACCGCCACACTGTGGCTCCACACTGGTTTTGGCCCGTGACTGCCAAATGAGTGAAGTGTGTCGGTGATTCTAAGATCGACGGCACTCATCTGCATGTCATTACTGACTGACAGTATTATTTTCTCTTCCCCAGCAGACTCCAAGGGCATTTAAATTAAAAGGTACAGTGTTGCTGCACTAATATAAAGGCTCTCTGAAGCCTAGAAACACACCCTTTTTATAAGTTAAATTCGCAGCGAATTATATTCGTGCCACGAAGCGAATTTAATCGGCGAATTCGGCGAATCAGCCGAACCGAATTTTTGAATAATTCGCTCATCTCTAGTGGTAACGTTGGCCTATTTGAATGACCCGATTTTTCCCTTTTTTTTTAAAAAAAAAACGGCCGGTTTAACGACCCGTCTATGGCCTGCATAAGCCTGGCCATACACTATACAATTTTCTTTAGAAAATTGCTTTATAATTTACCAAAAAACCATATAATATGAGGTCAAACCTAAAAACAACGCTTTCAATTGTATCCAATTAGACAGCTCCTTGCACTACACAGTTGAAGAAGTAAAATCTAAAGAAAATCTGACAGAAAATTGTATAGTGTATGGCCAGCCTTAGGCCAGCCTATGGACGGTTCGAAAATCGGCCGATATTTTTCAGCCAAAAGAAAAAAATCGGCTGATTTTTGCACTGTTAGTGGGTTAATTGGTCGGCCGGTTTTTCAGGTTTTTTTGCACTTTGAGATTATTGGTCATGTTGGAAAATTTGCGTGGCCGATGATTGGAAAAACGGGGACGATTTTTCTGGCAATGATGGCCAAAACGGCCGATCTTTTTAAACAATAAAAAAATTTACGCATGAGCCGTGACCTGCAAGGAACAGATGTTTGGCTGTTATATGGGGAGAACTTTATGATTTAGTTGGCCGATTTTTGTAAGCGTTGGTGGTAACGTCGGCTTAACAAATGACCCGGATTTTTTCGTTTATCGTTCAGAAAATCGTCCGAACTGTTCGACCCATCTATGGCCTGAAATAAAGCTAGGTTCACACTATGCAGGTTGTGTTTGAAGCCATTTCTGCATTGCGGTTTGCACCTGCAGTTTTGATGCGTTTTTTCTTTTTTTTTTCTCATTTTCATTTTTTTTTCTTGTTGCTAGGCAGATTTAAAACGCAAAAAAGTGCATCAAAAATTTGGATTGTAAAGCGCTGAGCAAAACTGTTGGCTCTATATAAATCCTGTATAATAATGGGATGATAATAATAATAATCACAAACGCGGCCACAAAAACTCATGCTTTATCTGGGGGTTACAGGCAAGAAACAGGTGTTCTTGATTCATCCTTAACCCCCGGTTCACCTATATGCGGCCGTGTGCGGGCTGCGTTTTGCGCGGGCACAAGAGCCCAGTCATTTGAATGGACTCCTGTGCCCGTGACACGCAGGGAAGTCCCTGCACTTCTTCTGAAAAACGCAGCCCACACAGGAACCTCGGTTCCCAGTACAGTTGCGTTTTCCAGTACATGCCCACGGGTCCGCAATTTCTCTGTGCGGGTGGTGCGTTTTTGCCACGTTTTTGATGCGTTTTGCAGTTTTTTTTTAATTTTTTAATTTTATTTTTCTTGTTGTTAGGCAGATTTAAAAACACATCAAAAGGGCAGCAAAAATGCAGCAAAATTTCACACCTATGCAGGTTGCGTTTGAACCGTTTCTGCATTGCATTTTGCGTTGCGGTTCCACACCTGCGTTTTTGCCACGTTTTTGATGCGTTTTGCAGGGTTTTTTCTTCTTTTTAATTTTATTTTTCTTGTTGGTAGGCAGATTTAAAAACACATCAAAAGTGCAGAAAAAATGCACTACATGCTTGTTTTTATTGAAGTCTATAGAACCAAAAATGCAACTTTTTGCATTAAAAAAATCCCTGACCCTTTCCAAAAAAGGCACCGGGTGAAATCGCGGAGATGTGAACTTGTCCAATAGGAAATCATGTTAAATGGATTGTACTGCATTTCTGCAAAACACTGCGGAAAACGCTTAGGTGTGAACCTGGGGTAAGTGCGTTTAATTGTTATCTTAATCAGCCACAAAACCTGTGTCATTAAAGCAGAGCTCCACCCAAAAGGGGAAGTTCCGCTTTAAGGACTGCTCCCCCGCTCCCCATTAATGATTGGCACCTTTGGGGGGCGGGGGTACCCGAATTTGACAGGTACCCGCTCCCATTTCTGGTCCAATCGCCAAGGTGATCGGAAGCAGAAGGTGTCCTCCATCCCTGTAGTCTTTTGGGACACGTGACAGGTCCCAGAAGACACAGAACCATTCATGAAGCGCAGCACTACTCGCGCATGCGCAGTGGGCACCTGGCTGTGAAGCTGAAAGCTGTCACAGCTCGGTGCCCACACTGAAGATGCCGGCCTCCTGGAATACAGGACGGCCGGTGAAACGGACTGCGGGGGATACACCACGGGACCGAGGGACAGGTAAGTGGCTGGTTTTTAAAAGTCAGCAGCTACAGTTTTTGTAGCTGCTGACTTTTATTTTTTAACAGGGTGAGTGGAACTCCGCTTTAATATGTGTTCGGTTTTAAAGGGATGAGGTGGCAACCCTAAGTCAAATGCGTTTTTAAAGCAGTACAACGGCATATGTGAGAATATGTATCATCCACTCAAAAATAAAATATTTAGAGCCAATAATGTGTAAAATAGAAAACAAAAACGTGATCGGCTAATGCTGACATCGGCTCAACCCAATGGTCTCAGATTGACGACTTGTTTACACTGTTCTCCCTGCGTTCAGTGTGCGGTTCTGCATGCGTTTATAATTCATTTAGGTGCATTTTTGGAATAATTTTTTTTTCTCTTAACCAACTTCCATTCACATGCATTTGTGATGTGTTCACATGCATTCCGATGCAAAAAATGCAGCACTGTGAACTTTTTTTTTTCTAATTCACATGGGAGCTCAGCTCTTTGGAATATCTTCGTATTTTTTTTTAGCTTTTTCAGGTGGGTGTCCGTGGTGGTGGGGGGGGGGGGGGGGGGCTGGGGGGTAAGAACTGGAGACAGAAGATCAATTCATGCTAGAACACGGTGTAGGAAACCTGCGGTCCCTGTGTGTTTCCCGCAACATTCAAAATGCACTGCGCATGCTATCTGTTGCCATGCAATTTTTACAGGCGTGTTTTGCTATGATTGCCACGCGATTCTGTCACACAATTGTGGCAAAATCACATCACGCTTGGGTGCCATTCATTGTACGCATGTCATGTGTTTTGCAGAGATTGCCACATAATTTGGAATGGCAGGCAGAATCACGCTGCGATTCCGAATCAAAAAGTGTGAATGGGGCCCCATGCACACTTAGGTGGCTTGAGAATGTGCGCAAAGCATAGGGCATCCCCTTAATATCAATGGGCTGCCCTACGCATGGCAAAGTAGCTCATGGAGCTTCCGGCCGCGTTGAGCCTTGCATGTTTTGCCGCATTTACTGTGCAATCTTCAGCATGGAAAAACACACCTCTGCTTGCCATGTTTGTGACTACAATAAATGGCAATGCAAACATGTCACGCATTTTTAGCATGTTTATGACACGCTCAGGTGTGAATGGAGTCTGTTAAAATACAGCGTGATGGGGTTGTATATATATATGCCGCAGCCGCTGCATTTTCTACTTGGGGTGCAGAGTTTGACATGCTGTCAATCTCACCCATTGATTTCACTGGGGCTGCACTGCCACTGCAAGCCAAATGTTTGACTTGCGTTTGCAACGCAGTCATGCAATGTAAATTTTCTGTTCGGTAATGAAAAAAAAAAAAACAGGCAACAGGAGGTGGTATTAGTGCTTCCTGAACAGCTGTCATCCGCTGCTATACCACTCTCTGAAAAGCGATCCACCACAGACCACTTCTCATGGGGCTCATTAACACTAGCGCTTAGAGGACAGTGTAAACAAGCGCCAAGTTTTAGGTTGGGGGACGTTTATAATTGTGCCACATTTTTAGCACCCTCTTTAAGCTGTTCACATGCCAAAGCTTTGCGGCAAAAATTATCCAACATTTGTGATTGCACGGCACAAAGCTCGCAAAATGTAACTCATTCACATGAATAGGAAAGCCCCTCAATTGTGCGCAATGCACGTAATTGCAGCACGTTTGTTCTACAAAAGCGAGGTTAAAATTGGTGATGAGAAGGCTTCAACCTCCTCTTAAAGGTGATAGTGATCTGTAAACAGATCACTTTTCAGAGGAGGAACAGGTATTATTATTATTATACAGTATTTATATAGCGCCAAAGGGTTTGCTCAGCGCAACAGTAGCAAGGGGGACAGAACATGAGACAAGACAGTAACAATACACTACACGAGGGGTTCGAGGGCCCTGCTCTTTTGAGTTTACAATCTAGGAGATTAGATGCCAATCCCAGAATTAGGGAGGGTTTTTGTTCTCCCCCCCCCCCCCCCCCCCCCGAACACGCTTAAACACTTTCCTACTCTATTCAAAAAACATGAGTGTATACACACTGCTCAAAAAAAAAATTAAAGGAACACTTTGAAAACCCATCAGATCTCAATGGGGAAGAATCTCCTGCTGGATCTCTATACTGACATGGACGGGTGATGTGTGAGGAACGTAAGGATGTCCCATCGTTTGATGGAAATGAAAATGATCGACCTACAGAGGACTGAATTCAAAGACACCCTGAAAATCAAAGTGAAAAAATGATGCAGCAGGCGAGTCCGTTTTGATGAAATTTAATTGCAGCAACTCAGAATGGTCCTCAGGAGGCGGACTGACAACTCATTGGGCCCCCGGGCAATAGGGGATCATGGGGCCCCTGTGTCCTTGCCCACACTCAAAAAAGCCTATAAAAAAGGTACCAGGGGCATTTCATAGGGCACCCTATTGACCCCGGGCCCTTGAGCAGCGCCCGAGTGCTCGAATAGTCAGACCGCCCCTGGTCCTCAGTAGTGTGTATGGCCCCCACGTGCTTGCATGCATGCCTGACAACGTTGGGGCATGCTCCTAATGAGACGACGGATGGTGTCATGGGGGATTTCCTCCCAGATCTGGACCAGGGCATCGCTGAGAACCTGGACAGTCTGAGGTGCAACCTGGCGGCGTCAGATGGACCGAAACATGAGATCCCAGAGGGGTTCTATTGGATTTAGGTCAGGTGAGTGTGGGGGCCATTCAATGGTA